GTCCATGGGTGGGTGGGTGGGTAGATTGGTCAGTGGGTGGATGGGTGGATGGGTGGGTGGGTGGGTGGGTGGATGGGTGCGTGGGTGCGAGGATGACGGGGGTTGAGGAGGGCCGCTGCGGGAGACGGTTTGGGGAAGGGGGAGGAGTTGGGCGGCAGTGGCGCGCGCGAGCTTGGAGGGGGGGGAGCGGGGGTACAGGGGACATTGAATGGGGGACGGCACGGGGCCCCGTGGGGGGGAATCTGATCCGATATCCAATGCCAAGAAGTCGCAGCGAACGGCCTAAAAACGGCCGAGGCGCCGGCGGATAGAACATGATGCGGGCAGGAGGGGCGCAGGGCTGTCCCGGCGACTGCGCGCGGCCCCCAGGGCCGGGCCAGTGGCAGAGGCATGCAGAAGAGCCGTGCAAAAGTATCTGCGCATATCTCACCAAAGTCTGATATTTTTGCGACGCAGCCCCAGGGCGCCTCTGGCGAGCTGGCGAGCAGCACGTTCTGGCCTGTGGAGGGAGGGGGGGCGCGCGCGTGTGTGTGTGTGTGTGTGTGGATATGTGGGTGGGTCGACAGGGAGGGCCGCGGCTGTTCGAAAGACGAGGCGGCTGGCTGGGCGGGCGCAGGGGCATGGCGGGAGGAGGCGCCGAAAAGCGGGGGCCGCCCCTCGCGGGCCTGGCGGGGGGCGGTCGGGGGGCGGTGCGGCGGAGGGCGGGTGCTCACATTTGAGGTCAGCGTGCACGACGTTCCTATGGGGATGTTGTGGGGAGGAGGGGGGGGGGGCGGGACGAGCGTGAGAGGGGAGAGAGGGGTGAGCCGCCAGCCGGCAGAGACAGAGAGGGGACAGCATTCAGGCGGCCGCAGCCGCACCGCGCGCGACGGGAGGGAATGGGCGTGGGTGCGGCAACGAGGGATCCTTCCCATGCCTCTCCCCCTCGGGCGTGCGCAGCGCCGCGCCGTGCGGACCCGCCCCCAGACGCGGGAGCGGCCGCGCCCCGAGCCGCCGCCCCAGCGACCACATGTGCGCAACCCGTACCACCCGCGCACCGCTCGTGAAGGTACGCCATCCCCCTCGCCACGTCCAGCAGCAGCTGCAGCGCCCGCGGCAGGTCGATCGGCGCCTCCCCGCCCTCCTCCTCCTCCGCCGCATCTCCGCCGCCGCCGCCGCGGCCGCCGTCCCCCAAACTTCCGGCGCCCTCGCCCTCCTCCCTGCCCTCCCCGTCCGCCTGCTCGTCTTCCGAGTCGTCGTCTTCATGGCAGCGCAGCAGCAGGCCGCCGCGCACCGCGTCCGCCAGATTGCCTCCGTCACAAAACTCGAGGATCAGCCACGTCTGCGCCTCCGCCCGCGGCGGCGCCCCGCTGCTGCCGCACCCCGCGTCCCGCCGCGCCGACGCCCGCGCCGACGCCCGCGGCGGCGCGCTCGAGGCGGCGGCGGCGGAGGGCGCGCTGCCGGGGCCCGTCAGCACACCGCTGCTGCCGTCGGCGGCGGCGGCGGCAAACTCGTCGCCCTTCCGCTTGTGCGGCCGCCCTGGCGCCGCAGGCGCGGGCAGCGGCGGCTGCATCGGCGCGTTGGAGGGCGGGGAGCCCCTCTCCAGCACCAGCGCCTCCGGCCGCGGCCGCGGCGCCGCCGCAGCTGCCGCCGCCGCCGCCGTCGCATCGGGCGGGGCCGCGGCGGCGCCTCCGGTTGACGCGTCGCGCGGGGCGCTGCCGAGCGGGGAAAGGGGCACGTCAGACCCGGGGGTCGCCGGGGCCTTGGGCCCGCTGTTGCGGCGCGAGCCGCGCGCCGCCTCATCTTCCGCCTCCGCCCCCTCCCCGACGCCCTTCGCAGAGGCCGCCGCGGCCGCCGGGGCCGCCGGAGGATCGTCCGAGGTTGCGTGCGCGGGGCGGTTGTCCAAGGTTGCGGGCGCGGCGTGGTGTTCAGAGATTGTGAAGGTGTATGTGTCGGCGGCGGCGGGCTGGAAGAGGGGAGAATCCAGGGAGCAGTAATCCGAGGCGGCGTCCTGAGGAGTACCGGGGTGGGGGAGGGGGAGGGGGGGACATGGGCGCGTGAGTGTGATGAAAATGTGTTGTGGGACGGGTTTGAGTGTGTGCGTGCGTGTGTGTGTGTGTGTGTGTG